CCAGGTGGGTTTGAACATCTCCAGAGATGGAGACTCCACACCCTCTCTGGGCAGCCTGTCCCAGGGCTCCAGCACCCTCACAGGATGGCATCACGTTGACGAGCAGGACATCAAACCCAGCAAGCCCTGCTGAGCACAGGTTTGTTATATCCACAGCGGAAAAACCTCAGGGTTTTAGTTATGAAGCAACCTGGCTTTAGCCTTTCTCTCAGGAGACACTGAGATCCTGGCTCCTCAGCTCTCAAGTAGGACATTAATTAATTATATTTACTGCTAAGAGCTGAGTGAGCTGTTGGGTGGGAGCTGGGGCTGAGCTGCACGCTCGCATTGCTCTGGCCGACAGCCAGGCAGGGGACAGACAGTGCTGCAGCACGTGCTGGGGTGCCAGGCAGGGAGGGAAAGGGAGACCCACGTCCTTGCAGGACCTTGTGTTGCCAGAGCTTGACCTCTTCTTATTCACCACGTGGGGTTTGTAGACAGAAGGTCATCTCCTGGTGTCTGTGAATTAACCATGGAAGCAGCAGGCTCAGCCCAACCGTGCTGCAGCATCACCAGTGGTGCCTCCAGCATCAAAGGAGGAGCTGTACGCTGGGATACATCCCCGTGGCCCGGGTACATGGGCTGAGCACACGGCCCAGCAGCACCTGGGTGTCCTGTGTCACTGCCTGAAAAACAGGGAAGACTTCCATGATCCTTTCTTCCCTGTTTTCACCAGCAGTTGGACATCCCCAAGCTGGGAGCACTGTGCCCATGTTGAAAACCACAGTGAAAGCACCTTGTTCTGCTCGGCTCCCGTGTCACACCTACGGCCCATTTACACACGAGTCTGGAGCACGTGTCTTCTGTGGAGTGGCTGAGGGAACTGGGGTTGTTGAGCATGGAGAAAAGGAGGCTGAGGGGAGACCTTCTGGCTCTGTGCAAGTCCCTTGGAGGAGGGTGGAGAGAGGTGGGGGTGGGTCTGTTCAACCAAGGAGCAAGGGACAGGACAAGAGGAAATGGGCTCCAGTTGTGGCCAGGGCAGTTGAGATGGGATGTGAGGAAGAATTTCTTTGCTGAAAGGGTTCTGAGGCATTGGAAGGGGTTGCCCAGGGCAGTGGTGGAGTCCCCATCCCTGGAGGGATTGAAGAGTGGTGTAGACACAGTGCTGAGGGACATGGGTTAGTCGGGGACTTGTCAGTGTTGGGTTCATGGGTGGACTCAATGATCTTAAAGGGCTTTTCCAATATGGTCAGTTCTGGGGTTCTGTGGAAAGGTTGATGTGAGTGTGGTCTGTACCTGCTGATCTCTCTCCCCCAGGCGCTCAATGGCTTCGTGCTGGTGGTGACATCGGAAGGACTGATATTTTACTCCTCACATACAATTCAGGACTATCTGGGATTTCATCAGGTTGGTGGGACACCTCTTATTCACTGTGGTGGGTTGGCAGAGTGTATTTTTCCTTGGTGGTGGAGAATAACCCCAAGTTCTCTTTGAGGAGGAAGCTCTGCAGGGATCACAGGGTTTCAGGGAACTCCGTGGGACTTTTCCTTGGTCTTGTGAATTTGGACCCCATCTTGCCAGACGTGGTTGTGGGGAGATGTCAAAGCAACTTCACTAGCCCACAGATTCTTTCCACCAGCCACGTTGACAGGCTCTGAGGTTCATGGTCCCGTTGTGTAATGCCATGGTGAGATGTCTGGGGTTCTCTGCCCAGTTTGTCTTTGGACACCCACTCTAGGTGACCCCTGGTAAATCCCACAAGGCTCCCGTGCTTTGTGGTTATCTGGGGACGACCCAGGTAAGCTGGAAGGCACTAGGTCAGATTTATGGGGACATGGGACTTACCTACAGTCCTTCAGTTACTATGGTTTGGTGTTGCTCCCACGCAGCTGGCTTTCCCCAACATCTGGGGTAGATGAGGACTGTCCACCTGGGCAGAGGGAGCAAGTCCTGGAGCAGATACCTTGTTCTCTTGGGAACAATGTAGAGATGGGGTGGCTTTGCTCCTGTTTTATTCCCAAACCCATTTTTTCATCTCATCTCATAAGGATTTTTAAGGACACCATGTTATGGGGACGAGCATGTCAGAGGAGAGCTGTATTACCACTGCTAGTGCCTCTTTAGGATGGAGAGGATCTGACCCAACATGAGGGGTCTGGCCCAACATGAGCAAGTGGTCCTTTGAGCTGGATGTGCTGCCTGTTCCCACCAACATCAGCTCTGGTGGAAGGTGTCAGACCTCATGCAGCCAGCGACTTAGTTGAGCACTGGGGGAATAGGGTGGGATATGGCCAACGGTGCAGGATTTGGGGCTGTGACAGGCTGTTTCCAGGTGGGACATGACAACTGGTGCCTGGGAGCAGACCACGGAGCTTGTGCATTGATTTTTTTTTTCCTCTAGACAGATGTCATGCACCAGAGTGTCTTTGAGCTGATCCACACTGAGGACCAACAGGAATTTAGACGTAACCTCCACTGGGCCCTCGACCCACCCCACGCTCCTGAGGGTGAGCCTTCTCCAGAAGGTAAACGCAGGCTGGGAGCCAGGCATCCTGGTTGCCATAAGGTCTGTAGCTTCCAAAGTACAGCTCACGTGGGGCTTGTGTCCTTGCAGCTCAAGCCATGAGTTCATCCAAAACACTGTGGCTTTCCATGGGCTTCTGTTGCTGTGCTCTGCAAAATGCTGTGGTCCCTGATGTTGGGGACCTCCAGCCCTTTCTGGGGACCTCCAACCCTTGCTGGGGACCCTTCCTTGCTCCTCTCTCGATCCCTCTCTTCCACAGTGGGGAAGAGCCTTGGTTCTTCTGCTGTCACCTACAAGCCAGATCAGCTGCCCCCAGAAAATTCCTCCTTTCTGGAAAGGAGCTTCGTGTGCCGCTTCCGCTGCCTCCTGGATAGTTCCTCCGGCTTCCGGGTGAGTACAGACCCACGCTGTGACCTCCTCAGGCTCACCCTGAGTGCTCCATGCCACTGCTGGACCATTAAAAGTTGGCCTCACAAGACCTGGTGCTCCTTTCTGCCATGTGCAACACCTGCCTGTCCCAAGCAGGAGATATTTCTACTGATTTTCATAGGTTGGGTCTGTACCTACAAGCTCTCCATGTGGGTTTTGTTCCTCTCCTCTCAGAAATGCTGAATCTTGAACAAAAGTCCTTTTCCTCCACACCTTCTGCCAGGTTTTTTCGTTAAAGGCATGTCTTAAGATCAAGTAGGTGGTGTTCATCTCTGCTCTCTGCCGCAAGATGGTGGGGTTCTCACCACTGTTTGTGCCTCTCATCCTGCTTCAGTTTGGAAACTCAATATGAAGAAAAAGTCTTGGTTGTCTGTTGTTGAGAAGCAACATTCTGAGCCCTGATGGAGCCCTGGTGCAGCTCCAGTAAAATGCAAAGCAGCCCATGCATTGCCTGATGCCCTGGTGCAGCAGCACCACGTGCTTGGTTGGAGAGCTTGAGCACTGGATTCACACACAGAGACACACACAGACTGGTGGGGTTTGGAAGGGACCTCAGGAGATCATCCAGTCCAACCCCCCTGCCA